CACTCACTCAAAAGAGAAACGAATTCGGATTTGGTACCAAGTTTTAACAAACTTACTCTAACAATAAAAAGAAACAGAAAATAATTAGATTAACAAAATGAAGCGCGAAAACAGAAATGCGACATGAAAATAGGGTTCGGCGGAAGGCCGCCCAAAAGACAATTAAATTAGCAAGGTAATTCTCGCGAGCCAATGAGGCGAGAGATAATTAAAGCACGAAATGGAAAATCAATGGAATATCAGATATCTTAGGAAAATGACTAGCTTTCTCGGTTTATCGCCGGAAACGACAATTTAACGCGAAATATTCAAAAGGGGCGCCGCTCGACACTGATTCGAGGGTTCGTCAACTCTCAGAAACTCTATTTCCGCGAGCTCCAATCGGCTACAATTCCTGAACAATCCTATAATCGAAATTACTAAAAATACAACAAAGGTTCACTGTAATAAACAATATTGGTCACCTAAATTCAAATCATACGCAATAAAAATTACAAATTTCTATCATTCAAATATAATTTGCGCTCGCGTTCGTGGACTAATTGACTCAAAATTACACAACAGATTCCCGACTCTAACTTTCCGCAACTTTACGCCAAAAATTACTCTACGGACGAGTAGCGAAACTAATCTCAAAAGGGGTGTCGCAAGATAAACTCAAGAATCGCAATTGACAAAACCCGGAACTAAAGCGGGTATTCCGGGGAAAGAAAATGGGTCGCGGACGCGGGCGACCACGTGGTCGCCGCGCGGCTTCTCCGCCTCCGACCCCGAGGGAAAGATAAGGAACGCTCCTGCGACTCGACTTCTGGCCGTGGCAAAGGACTCTAATTTTACACGACTACAAGATCTCCGCGCCGAAAACCAAAACAATTCATAAATTTTCGGGGGACGATCACTTCAAAATATCTCGAAGATGGCACTTTTCCCGCCGCGGGCCCTAACCATTCACAAACCGGCGTGAGAAAAATGATCCTACTAGACTCGAAAATTAGTCTCGGCGGAAATCAAAACCGTTCACAAACTTCCGACAGACAAAGAAAATTAAGCTACAAAGAAACTCGAATTTCACGGCCAGACAATAGAAAAGTGGCCTTGAACTGCGCGCTTTTACTCTAACGGGGCGCGACAGAAAATTACGAAGAAAATGGCGAGAAAATTACAGGATTCAGAGAAAACTATGAGACACGATTCGAAGAAAACGAAAAAGTCGCTCTTGTGTCCGCTCGAGGAACCCCGCGGCCTCCCGAGAAGCTACCTCAAAACCCGACTTCCGCCCGTCGCAGGCCCCACCAGGGCAAACCGGAAGATCGCCCGCATGAGACTCACAAAGACCGACTACGCGGTACGCTTTTGCTCACCGGCGCGACACTATCCGGGCCCTACAACTTCGCGAATTAATCGGTGACTTTACGTATCGCGACTAGGGGTCCTCGATCGAGCACGTGGCACTTACTTAGGTTCAGAAAATTCGCCGGCCATTCGGCTGAATCCCTCGACGAGCCGGGAAGATCTTCGGGTCTCTGGTGGCGTGAGACAATTAGACAATGTTTTAGAAAACTATCAGGTGCAGGTCCGCTCGGTCCGACGATCGCAGGCAGAGAAGGTCGGGGCTCTCTAGGCGTTGTCCTATATAGGGCTTCGGTTGGCCAGTCCGAATCCCAATCGGCGCCGTTGATTGCCTGAGATGCCCCTTAGCACCAGATTTTCGGCGGAATCGGGGTGCGCCGGCCCGATTCCTAGGGCAGGGGGTTGCGGCGGCGCGATCACCGTGCTCGGTTGCTGGGCAACGGCGTTGCGCGCTTGGTGCACGTCCAGCTGCCGGCGATGCCACGGCCGTGCCGAGCGGTGGTCCGTCGGGTCCCGATGGGCCCTGGTCCTCTGGGCCTCCGATGTTTTCCCCTCCGGGGGATCCTGACTTACCCGGGGACGGACCGTTGGGTAAGCCCCGGGTACTCTGGCGAGGACTTGGCATCCACGCTTCGCCTCGTCGGTGGCAGCCAGGGTCATTAGAGCACCTGCCTCCTGGTCCAGCTCCTGGCCGGGCAGTCCTGCTGCCCCTGCGGGTGGCCGCACCCGAGCCTCCAGGGCCCGTCTGCGGCCCGCTCCCGCAGGCAAGGCCACCAGGGGGTGTAGCAGGGCCGACTTGCCCTCCGGGTGGATCCGACGAACGGGCCGTGTCACCGCGGCTGATGAGCTCTGTCCTGATGCTCTTGGCCGCCGAGGCTTCCTCGACGGCTTCTTTCTTCCAAGGTCGGGGCGACGAGCGGTAGCGCGCGCGCGAGCGCGATCTCCGAGAGGTCGCCGATGTTGACACTCCGGCCTAGTAACCGGAGCCTCGCTACGCGATACAGAAATTTGGCGAGATCTCGATCAACTCGCCAAAAATTCATTCCGAATATTTGCGAGTGCTAGAGAGCACGCCCGGGAACTCAAGAAATGAATGGATGACCCCTTATAGGAAATTGGGAAGAGTTCCCGCGGATCGCTAAATTAGGCTGCAACAAAATACTAAACCTAAATTGGTTATTAATTAGGCATGCTTTCCCTCTCCCTCGGGTCGGTGACCGTCGGACCTCGGACCCTGCAACTAAAGAATGCATAAAAAAAGATGTCGGAAGAAACTTGGGGTCGCCGTGGGGTGGCAAAAATATACCACGTCACACCACCTACAAAAATATTGTTATATGTTTTACTTATTTCGTGTCATTTTTGCAGTCTTGTTTATACAAAAGCATGCGCCGCTGAATAACGGAACTTTGTTTAAAGTCATTTCATACTTCTGCACGAGTGAATACGTAATCGTATAATTTAAAAGTTAATGAAAAGCTGTATGAAATCCTTATCATGTACATGGCCCTAAAAATTCTGCCAGGATTTCATTAGAATTTACTCCATCGGATTACGTGCAGCTCTAAAAAAAGAAAGAGACACTACCGCCACTACGAGTTATACTGTCGGTAACGTCTAAGGTAATTCGTTACCATATAAGTGTGGCGGCGTTACCGACGGCATATCTCAGTACCCGCAGCCTATGCAGATGCCGCTACAACTATTAGGGCCCCTTTTTTATCGACACCATCCAAGACCCAGGAGCCGATTCGGAGTTGCTTATCGCCTTTCACATCACCTTAAGCAGAGAAGCGTGATAGCAAAAGAAAAAATTACCGTATTAGAACAATTATTGATGAAAAAAAGCAATGCGTAGGATAAGCTTTATGAATGTAAGTAACGACAACGTCAAAATGATTCCTATAGACTGCAATTAACAAGAAGACTGACTTGCAAGATTTGTGCCAAAAATCATTATTCTTAAGTATACATTTGTTACGGGGCGGCCGAGCGGATGCGAGGCCGGGGTAATTTGGATGGAGATTACCCAAATCTTGCGCGTAACTATTATTTTAAAGTTTGTGAGGAGATTGATCCGAGCGGCTAGATCAATTCCTTTGGTGGGATCTAGGGGAGTGAGGAAAAAGGGGGGTGCGAACGAATGGCTATGTGGCTATAAGATTTGTATTTATTCGTACGCGAGGTCTGAACTACAGTCAGCTGGCACCCGAGTTGCCTTGACCTAATTTCTCTAGATTAATATACTTCCGCGTCGCGGCGGTTCGGGTGTCGCGATAGCGCGCTTTAGCGGCGGCAGGTTACTGGACGGAATTCTTGCTATTTCAATGGCGGCCTGCGCGTGATTCTATTTCGCGATGCTGAGATTCGAGCTCAGCTGTTTAATGGAAGTCGATGGATTCTTAATCTATCCGGTTAAGCGGAGCAAGGCATGGAAATCGCGATAATGGTTAGAATTCGATTTTGGTTGAAGATGAAGGGTTAATGAATAAACTAGAATGAAAATGAGGATGAATCGAGCTTGCGAAGAATCCTCTACCTGGCTTGTTCAGCGGCCGTAATCGGTAACAGTCTCTTTTGATCGACCCGGTCGGATGACTGTGCGTGCACACCTTCGTCCCGTGGCGTGCCCTAGGGTTGGAGGTCTCCTAGAAGCCTCCCGTCCAACGGAAGTCGCAGTGCCGCCGTCTAGTCCTGACTCGGTGGCTGGATCGCTGGAGTACCGGATGGCGCTACTGCAGCTCGCAGGATAGTGGTCCTTGGCAGGGAGTCCAATGGTCTCGGTCTCTGACTCGCTAGGAACGGAGTACCGGGGACCAGGAACTCCACTCGAAGTTTCGATGACGACTGACGTTGACTTATGTCAAATTGACTAAGGTTTCGACTAATGACTTAATGACTCTCGTCTTGATCGGACTGCTGGTTTTATTAGCAGGATGTTCCAATTGGTGGGGGCTTCCTAGAGCCCAGGTGAAGGTGACGTTTCTGAGTCGTGCTGATGCGTTGTGGAGTCATCAGGTTGTTTGCCCCGGGTCGGTCGGTGACTTTTGGAGCCGTTTGGCCGATGAACTCGTTGGATTCTTTCGCAAGGGTTTCGCCTTTCTGTACTCGGATTTCCATGGTTAGCTCCGGTGATTGAAAAATAGGGGTTTTCCCTATGTTAGGGTACGGAAGGTACCTACGTAATACATTACAATTATTATTTAAGTTTTTTCTGTACGTTTCTTCTGTAGGGAAGTTACGATAAACGCTGTTTCTTTAGTTTCTTAATAAAAGATCTATTATCAGTCCACTGTTTCTTAGCTGCCCTGCACTTCCGAATGATTTTCCTCTTTATCGCCTTATACATTTTTTGCCCTTCTTCATCTATGCGTATGTTTTTCATATATTCATATGTTTATTTTGTATCCTGTTCTTATGTTTTCGTCTTTCTTCTATTAGTCCTACAGTCTCGTTTGCTACCCAGGGTTTCCTAGTTTCGTTTTGTTTAAGACCTAATAAAAAAACCCTTGCTGCGGAATCTAGACACGTTTTAATGCAATTCCATTCCACCTCTAGGTAGATATCAAGGTAAGGAACAATGATATCGAGTTTCCAACGCATTCATAGTATGTATAAAGATATTTATTTTGAATCAAATGAAAAAGGCGTTACGCAACAAAATAGCGTCTTATTAAATTATCGCGAATTCTTCGTCCAGCAGCTAACTCAACATTTCTAATTGGAATGTTTTGCGCTTCATTTACCGCATTATCAAACATGCCGAAGTCTAACTCTTCCTCTTCCTCTTCTGGGTCAAGTCTACAGTTGTCCTGAATACACATGTTGTGCAACACTGCGCATGCATTAATGATCTTCGAGCACACGTCTGGCTGGTAATGCAGTACTCTGTGCTTCAACAAGCAACGAAATCTCATCTTCCAAAGTCCGTTGCATCGTTCAATAAGTGATCTTGTACATCTTTGCCGGGAGTTGTATCTCTGTACTGCCACATCGTCTTCATCGCCTCCAACCGGAGTCATCATCCACGGTCTTAGTGCATAACCGGAGTCACCTATAAATAAAACAAATTAACATCATAAACATTTCTCTCAAAACATGTCCAAGTATTATTTCGGGGATATTGTCACTTTCTGGACCAGTTTCGCGTATGATTGTACTTTGGTGCCCGAAGATTACTGACCATCGCGAGTATATTCGTGACCGGTCTGTAATGTTGTGTTCGAGCGTGGATGTACGGACTGGTTTTAGTTTGAAATCGTCGGGCCATGGCGTGTTAAGATATTTGATAAAGTTACACTTGGAAAAATTCTGGGTAACCAAAATGCAGGCTATTGAGTATTGAGTATTTTAACAGCAATGATCGCTTTATCGCAATGCGATGCTTTAACTACAGCTTGAACTGTTTGAAAGAAACAATAATAAATTTCGAAATATTATCAAACAAGAAGAAGTTGTGTCCCCGATTGTACATTTCTTGATTACAGGGACAACATTACTGTTGTTCCAAATATAAGAATCATGAGTGCTTCCAGAATATCGAGCATTTACATTTATTATTTTCAGATCTGGATCACATATCTGCAAATTATGTTTTAATAGCATTATCTACATAAATGTCTGGTTTAATTTTATAATTTTATTTTCTTACCAACTGGACGTTAATCGAATGACATCCTTTTCTATTAACGTAAATATGTTCCGGAAATTGTTGGTCATCTTTTGAAGGTGGGAAAATCGCTACATGTGTACAATCTATGCAACTAATTACACCAGGAAAGCGGTGTTCCACCCAAAATCTGTAAAAGTAACCTAATGTGGTTGAATATGTATAGACATGACTATACAAAATATAAGTTCTCCCTCACCTGTTACGCAACTGTTCTGCCTCCCCTATGTTCCTTGGGAAATGTACCCAAATGTCGAAAATTTGTAGCAAATTCAAAATATTTGTTACATTGTGAATGCATCTACTGACGGAGGGTTGATTTATTGCCATATTAACATTGCTTCCAATGCAATTTTGATAACTTCCGGATGCAAAAAACCGTAATGCAGTTAAAACCTTCAGAAGAAGATCGTTTTATTAAGAACAGAATATATGAATTTACGTATTATCTAAATTATCTAAATATACTTTTACGTATTATCTAAACTCACTTGTACAGTTGCGTCCAAAGCTGAAAAACGTGACGGTTCTGTAGAATTTTCTTCTACAATATTAATTACTCGTTCTGCCGTTTCTTTTTTCAACCTGAATAGTTTAACGAACTGGCATTATGGCAAGTCAAATGCATCATCCCGTTCTTGAAAACGTGGTCCTTCACCGAAATCATAAGCGTTTTCCAATTGCGCAGCGATATGAAGTTGTGCTACTATATTTTGCGGATCCATTATTGCTATAAATTTAATCAAATTAATAGTAAGTTAATTTATGATTTACAATTTTGTGTTAATTTCGAACAACTAAATTATTCTTACAATCTATTTACCTATGTTCAGTCAAACTTCACCAGAAACTTGTGTAATTACACTTTTTATTTCGATACAATTTTTTTCTTGACAATTGCGCTCTCCTAACCACCATGTCACATAACCTCAGTTTAAAGGAAAAGAATGCTTGTCCCTAGAATTCTCATATGCGATTTTCAGCTTCGAGTGGGTAGGACCCACTCGAGATGAAACGTTCGAGAATTCTCGTATACGACTTCACTGCCGTACGCGAGATGGACTCAAGAATATCGTTTTTGATCTCGCATGCGACATCTAGGATTCTCGCATGCAGCATCCAGGGTCTCAGTTTCAAGAATAGGGCCCCAGGGGCCGATTCGGAGTTGCTTATCGCTTTTCACATCACCTTAAAATTCCAAATCCAGTGCTCCAACGCTTTGAAATACTGCAGTCCTACTTCTTCATTGGCTTGCTATGCCCATTTCCGCAAATCTAAATCGTGAATAACACCAGCTTCAGTCTTTTGTTGAAAAATATTCAATACGTGTTCCGAAATTTTCAATAATTTACTCCTTCGCGAACCTCCTTTCTCGACAGTTTCTTCCCATCTAATTACATGTAAGAGAAATAATATTCTTGTAGTATTTTCAGTCATGAAATCAAGATATCTATTCCCTGACCTGTATAACAGCTGCAAAGTTTTGACTTTCTTAAATTTTTGTTTTACTGTCTCTAGAGAATATCTTTTCCTTTTTCCACTTTTCCAATAAGCAACTGCTTTCTCTTTGTACTCTAAATCCACTGTACCCCCTTCTTCCGGCACACATGACTCGTCCTCAATTTCAATAGTTTCTAACATTTTTTCGCGCGTTGGTTGTACTACATCGTCGACAAATTCAATCGAATGCGGTCTCTAAGATTTAAAAAATTCTAGGTTTCTCTTTTCCATTGAAAACGATGTACCTTGTTGACTTCTTCTAATTACATAGCTCAAAATATCATGCAATTCCGTTTTACGACTATTAGGAAATGTTTGCGAATAGTGTGTAACACCGTACGTTTTCATGAACAGAAGAACTTACAGGGTTTATTAAAATCATTTTCATAAATGACTATCAGCCAGGAAGTTCTACATTACATTCTTTAGAACTGACAATGTCGCGAAAAATCCAGTACTTATATTCATAATATTAATATTATCTTATGGGATTAATGAAACAAATAATATAATAGTAGCCACAATAATACGATATAAAATGATGAGTATTATGCGCAACGGGAATTGGTGTACTTTTGTCATTCCAATTGCGACAAGCGAAAAAAAAAACAAGTTTTCCGGTCTGTTTTATCTGTGGATAAGTCACATGTATCATATATTGTAATGGTATGCAGATTGGTCCGTGTCTATGCACCGAAAAACTGCATCCTTCGAGGATTCGAGCCTCACGATTCCTGAGACCGAAATTAATTTAAACTCAAATATATATAATAGAAAGAGACTAGCGAGAGAGCCAGGAGAGCGTTCATGAACGATCAGCTGAGCGCGTAAATATTATGCAGAATCGGGAGGCCTGTCGAACGAATTCGGATTTAGCAAGTTTTTATGTAGTTAGGGACTTTGCTTCCGCACCGTTTCGTGCGTTTTAGCAATTTAAAATCCTCAGAAATTGATTCACTTTCAGGATCGCTTTAATTAAATTAGGTGCAGTCCTAATCCAATTATCGCGTTTCCTGTTTTTCTGATTCTGGCTACAGGGAAGGGAAGTATGGGAATTTGACTCTCAGTGAGAACGGCTTATCCCATTATCGATGCGTTCTATAGTTCCATCATTCAATCAGCAGGATTGGGAATAATGGAATTTTAGGTTTTTGGATAAATTTGGACCATTAAGAACTTAGGGCAGTTACTCCCTAGTCCGTGCCCTAAGTTTGCCGATCTTCCTTTTTACTTGATCCGCGTGCAGAACTTTATTTCGAACGCAGGGCTATATGAACCTAAGGGAGTAAATTTGAGGTTCCTTTTTGAACCTTGTTTTGAGAATTCTAATCGTACTGTGGGCGTTGCTGATCAGCCTAAACGAAATCTATTTTTACTAAATGAGTTTTAATACCGGGTCGCGGACTACTTAGTTCCGCGAAACTATGATTCTTCCCGGAACTTGGCTCTACGGGGATTAGTACGACTTATTCTAGGTTAGCCAGTTGCGGACATTGACTGGTAATTAGGCTTGGTTTGTGGAAAAAGGTGTTCGCGAGAAAACATCGGGGGCCCCGAAGACCAGGGCCCATCGGGACCCGACGAACCACCGCTCGGCACGGCCGTGGCATCGCCGGCGGCTCGACGTGCGCCAGGCGCGCAAAGCCGTTGCCCAACAACCGCGCACGGAGATCGCGCCGCCGCAACCCCCTGCCCTAGGAATCGGGCCGGCGCAGGCCGATTCCGCCGAAAATCTGGTGCTAAGGGGCATCTCAACCAATCAACGTCGCCGATTGGGATTCGGACTGGCCAGCCGAAGCCCTATATAGGACAGCTCCTAGAGAGCCCCGATCTTCTCTGCCTACGACCGTCGGACCGAGCGGACCTGTGCTGAACAGTTTTCTTAAATTTGTCTTATTGTCTCCTGGGATTGAAGACCTTGAGGACCTTCTCGGCTCATCGAGGTACTTAGCCGAGGGGCCGGCGAGCGGCGGTGAATTTTCTTTAGTAAAGTAAGTGCCACGTGCCTATTCGAGGACCCCCTGTTGATAGTTAATAAAAATTAGAGTCTCCGGGTAACTTCGCTAGGTCGTAGGGCCCGGATCGTGTCGCGCCGGTGAGCGGAAGCGTACCGCGTAATCGATCTTCGTGAGTCTCACGCGGGCGATCTTCCGGTTTGCCCTGGTGGGGCCTGCGACTCACGGAAACCGGGATTTGAGTTAGCCTCTCGGGAGGCCGTGGGGTTCCTCGAGTGAACACAGGAGCGACTTTTCTTGTATTCTTCGAGTCGTGTCCTGTAATTTTCTAGCCATTTTTTGTATAATTTTCTGTCGCGCCCCTTTAAAGTAAAAGCGCGCAGTTCGAGTCATCTTTTCTATTGTCTGACCGTGAAATTCGAGTTCCTTTGTAGTTTAATTTTCTTTGTCTGGTGGAAGTTTGTGAACGGTTTTGACTTCCGCCGAGACTAATTTTCGAGTCCAGTAGAGTCATTTTTCTCACGCCGGTTTGTGAATGGTTTGGGCCCTCGGCGGGAAAAGTGCCCTTTTCGAGATATTTTGGAAGTAGTCGTTCCCCGAAAATTTGCGAATGGTTTTGATTTTCGGTGCGGAGATCTCATGATTGTGTTAATTTAGAGTCCTTTGTCACGGCCAGAAGTCGAGTCCTAGGCGCGTCCGGTATTTTTCCCTCGGGGTCGGAGGCGGAGAAGCCGTGCGGCGACCACGTGGTCGCCCGCGTCCGTGACCCATTTTCTTCCCCGGAAACCCGCTTTTCTTCCGGTCGAAGTTGCGATATGCTTGAGTTTGTTTCGCCAACTTTGGATTTTTAAGTTTAGTTTGCTGAATAATTTTGAGAGTAGGTTTGCGACTCGTCCGTCGAATGAATTTTGTACAACGTTGCGGAAATGTAGAGTCGAGAACATGTCGTGTAATTTCGAGTCCATTAGTCCATGAACGCGAGCGCGAGTATTTGAATTATTGAATTGTATTTTGAGTGTGTCCGATTTTTGAATTATTGAATTGTATTTTGAGTATGTCCGATTTTTGAACTATTGAATTGTATTTTGAGTGTGTCCGATTTTGAATTTAAGGTACGAAAATTGTTTATTATAGCGAACCCGTTACGTATTCTCTGTATGATTTGAATTACCGAATTGTTTTTGCCTTGTGGTCGATTGGAGCCCGCGGAAATAGATTTTCCGAGAGTTGACGAACCCTCGAATTTGTGTCGAGCGGAGCCCCTTTTGAATACTTCGCATTAAATTGTCTTTCCCGGCGATAAACCGGGAAAACTATTAAGTTTTTTAAGATATTTGATATTCTCTTGATTTTCTATTTCCTGCTTTAATTATCTCTCGCCTCATTGGCTCGCGAGAATTACCTTGCTAATTTAATTGCCTTTTGGGCGGCCTTCCGCCGAACCCTATTTTCATGTCGCATTTCTGTTTTCGCGCTTCATTTTGTTAATCTAATTATTTTCTGTTTCTTTTTATTGTTAGAGTAACTTTGTTAAAACTTGGTACCAAATCCGAATTCGTTTCTCTTTTGAGTGAGTGTGGCTGAATTCCCCTGTTTCCTCGAGCCTAAGATTAATTCCCCAAATTTGTTGAAGGTTTGTCCCCCGCATCTTGGTCTTACCCATGCCCTCTCCGAAACTTGGCGCGTGCGCGCTCTGAACTACTCGGCCGCGCCGCGACGATCGTCGAGACGGAGATCGTTCGAGCCTAGTCCTTTGAGTCAATTTGGAGTTTGTCGAGATTTGTTCGAGAGTACTGAAATTTTGAGTTGTTGAGATTTTCGCGAGTTGAGAGTTTGCCGTCGAGTATTTTTGGCCTCCGGGGAGGCCTGGCGCCCAACTTTGTGTCTCGTTCCCGAAACCGGGAAAAATAATTTTGAGTGGCTCGAACGGATCCGCCTAGATGATCGGGCGAAGGTAACGAGCAATCGTCCGGGCGCTGCGGGCCCGGAATTCCCCCCCGAACAAAGTGTCCGTTGTCGACACCGTTCCTCGTATTGTTAATATTCGTCACAATGTATATAGAGGCGCGAAACTCAGACCTAGTCATTATCTGCGATGTTCAGCCTGGCGTGTCAAATTGGACAATGAATGTTGTTTTTTGAACCTCTTGAATGAGTAAAGTGAGCTTTAACGGGGTCATCGAGAGTGGACGATTTTTCTGCATTTTTTAAGCTATGAACGAAACCGATTGGTTTATTTAATACATAGATGTGCACTTTTTAATATTTCA